GCTGCTGCGCCCGCTCTGCCTGGCGGATCCCCTCACCGCCCCCAGCTCTGCACGTGCCGCTCGGCTGGTGGCCGCGGCCCTCGAAGCGCTTCTGGAGAGCCGCGTGCTGACAGTAACTTATTTGTGCTTTGTTGCAGCAAAAGAGAAACTCCAGGAGGTGCAGCTGGGCCTTGTGGCTGGCGGGAGGATGGAGGTGGCGCGGGGGCGGCGGGACGCGCCGGCCAGGCTGGAGTGCGGCCACTGCGGCTTCCGGGGCGCCGACCACGAGGACGTGCAGATCCACATGGGCACCCTGCACCCGGAGTTCTGCGACGACATGGACGCCGGCGGGCTGGGCAAGGTGATCTTCTACCAGAAGAGCGCGAAGCTCTTCCACTGCCACAGGTGCTTCTTCACCAGCAAGATGTACTCGAGCGTCTACCACCACGTCACGGCCAGGCACGCGGCCCCGGGGCCGTGGGGCGAGAAACCCAAGCACCCGCTCAGCAGAGAGGCGGAGGCCGTGGGAAGCCCCCCGCTCTCTGAGCACCAGAAAGCGGCCCCTAACTCTGCGGAGCCGCAGCGGGCGCCCGCCCTGCCCGCGGACACGCAGAGACTGGGCCCGGCCTTGTCCCCAGAGTCGCCAGAAGCGGCTCCTGTTCCCGCCCTGGAGCCGCAGAGACCCGGGCCTGCCGCCTCCCCGGGGCCACAGGCCCCCGCTCGCGCCTCCCCTGAGTCTCTCAAGCCCGCTCCCGGCTCCTCCCCAGAACTCCCGAGGTCGGCCGCTGTCGTTTCTGACCCTCAGAAGCCAGTGCCCGTTCCTTCTCCGGAGGCGCACAAGCTTGCCCCCGGCTCCCCTGACCCAGTGAAGGCCGCGCTCTTGAGCCCGAAGCCCCAGAAACTCTCCCACTTCCCGGAGGTGTTGGGGCCGCCTGCAGCCTCTTCCCCGGAGTCTCCAGTTGTAGCCGCGTCCCCTGACTCTTGGGGGCCGTCCCCGTCGGCGTCTCCAGAGTCTCGAAAGCTGGCCCGGACTGTCTCCCCGGAGCCAAGGAAACCCTCCCCGCCGGAGTCCCCTGAGCCTTGGAAGCCGTTCCCCGCCGCCTCCCCAGAGCCGAGGAGACCGGCCCCGGCCGGGTCGCCAGGCTCTTGGAAGCCAGGGCCACCCGGGTCCCCCCGGTCCTGGAAGTCCAGTCCTTCGGCCCCGTCCGGACCTTGGAAGCCGGCCAAACCTGCTCCCTCGGTGTCTCCCGGGCCGTGGAAACCGATCCCGTCCGTGTCCCCTGGGCCTTGGAAAGCGACGCCCTCCCTGTCCCCCGCCTCCTGGAAGTCCTCGTCCGTCTCGCCCGGCTCCTGGAAAACGCCCCCCACGTCTCCGGAGTCCTGGAAGTCCGGCCCTCCGGAGCTGCGCAGGGCCACGCCCACCTTGTCACCCGAGCCCTGGAAGGCGGCTCCCCCCGTGTCTCCCGAGCTCCGCAAAGCAGGACCTCCCTTGTCCCCTGAACTCCGAAAGCAAGGGTCCCCTCTGTCCCCGGAGGTCCGTAGCCCAGCCGGCTCTCCAGAGCTCAGGAAGCCCTCGGGGTCGCCAGAGGTTTGGAAGCTCTCCCCCGATCAGCGGAAGCCTTCCCCCACGTCACTGGACTTCCCCGAGTCCCAGAAGAGTTCCCGAGCTGGCTCCCCCGACCTCTGGAAGTCTTCCTTCTTCCTGGAGCCCCAGAAACCTGTCTTCCCTGAGGCCCGGAAAGCGGGTCCTTCCGGGCCGGCCGAGCCCCCGAAGGTGGCCTCCGACATCTGGAAATCTGTCCTCTGCCTCGACGCTGAGGCCCGCAGGCCTGCGCTCTGTCCCGAGCCCCCCAGGGCGGCCCCCGCCGCCCCTCCCGAGCCCCGGAAGCGCAGCCTCTTCCCCGAGCCCCGCAAGCACGCGCTCTTCCCGGACCTCCCCAAGCCCCTGCTTGCGGAGTCGCAGAGGGCCGACGCCACGGGCGAGCAGAAGTGTGACCCGCTGGCCCAGGAGGAGCTGCTGGCCACGCCTCAGAAGCTTCTGGAAGACGCTCTGTTTCCCTGCCCGAAGAGGCTCAAGAGGGACGGCCAGACCGCGGACGCCGAGCCGGGCGGCAGCGAGTGCGCGAAGGCGGACGCGGACGCGGCCGACGCCAAGGGCCAGGAGTCCAGCAGTGACCAGGAGCAGGTGGACGTGGAGTCCGTGGACTGCGGCCGGGAGGGCGGGCCGGACGCGGGCGGGCCGGCGCGCGCCCGGCAGGCGCTGCAGGTCACGGAGGAGAAGGAGGCCTTCATCTCGGAGGAGGAGATCGCCAAGTACATGAAGCGCGGGAAGGGCAAGTACTACTGCAAGATCTGCTGCTGCCGCGCCATGAAGAAGGGCGCCGTGCTGCACCACCTGGTCAACAAGCACGACGTGCACAGCCCCTACAAGTGCGCCATCTGCGGCAAGGCCTTCCTGCTCGAGAGCCTCCTCAAGAACCACGTGGCCGCCCACGGCCAGAGCCTGCTCAGGTGCCCGCGCTGCAGCTTCGAGTCCAACTTCCCGCGCGGCTTCAAGAAGCACCTCACCCACTGCCAGAGCCGGCACGGCGAGGAGGCGCACCGGAGGCTGCCCGACGCGCCCGAGCCCGCGGC